ATTCAGATGCATCACTTCGAAAGGACCGAAAAATGCATAACGAGGGCCCAGGCCCTCCTTCATAACCTAAACCGTTTACCAGCAGTTAGCCCAAATAGCATAATCACAATTAGCCGTATTTCCAACCATTTTTAATCAACATTAAGTCTAGCAAATTGAATACGTCTTCTAAGCTTTATTTTGTCAACCTTGTCGAGATCGTCAGGCGTCACCACACCAGCTTTAACTAGCCTCCATGCCTCCTGAATTACAGCATACTGAATCCTATTCAAGGCAAAACCCAGTGGCTCCATCTTGACTTCTACAGGTTCCTAAAAACACCCAATTCAAAATGTGCTCTAAGCTTTCAGCTACTATAAGCAGATTCCGCTAAAATACTGCAGCCTTTTTAAATTGTCAAGCATCCATTAAAAGAAATGAAATATAGGTAAAAATTGTAAAGAGCATCATTTAGTCTTTGTAAGCCTTCTTAAATGGTAGCTACCTGTCCAATGGTTTTCATTAAATTCTTGGTAACTGCGGTGACTTCTGCTGATGTCCACTGATTGGGCACGATTTCTACTAAGTTTACAAACAATGGAGGATTTACAGGATGCACAACAAGATAACGAGACCTAAGAGAAGACATAGGCCTGCTTATTTCCATTATAAACACAGAAGGTTTTTGAAAACTTTATTTGCCTGTTGTTAAGATTCTCAACAAACGATGATGAAGGAATTGCTGATGTGCTGCTTCCAACAATTGTGTTCGGTTCAACCACAACGTCCATTTTTGCAAATATATCCTTTTTTAATGCAAGAGTTTCTCCAGCAGATTCCCGTAAAAAACAGCAATTAAACCAATACTTTACATAAAAGAAACAGAAAATTTAAACACCTGGCAGTAGAAAGCTCCTTGGAGGCACTCTTTGAGATCTGCAGATGAGGAGATATTCTGGAAATGTTGCGCTGCAGTCCCAGGACTTCGTAATAAACTATTTTCCTGGTAACATATGATGTTTTTTTTAAAATTCTTCAAATTCTTGAAAAAATTTAGCCTGCTATACTCTGTTTTACAACTTCAAAAAAAGGTAAACAAAAATAAAGGGCTGAAGTAGAACAATAAAATAAACACTGCCAATTATAGTGCTCGAGACGGTCGATTAAAGAAATTTTTTTCACATTTTTATGCCGTGTACTTCGTTCTATTGCTTAGCGCTGGACGTCAGCAATACGTGCTTGCAACAATCCGTAAAAAAGACTACAGAAAAAACAACAGGCAGAAGATTTTACTTGCTAAAGATTAGACTGTTATTAAAGCGTTTAGTTACAGTTCTACCTCCAGAAGCTTTAAATTGTTGAGAATTCGCTTCTTTGCTGTTTCAACGGCTTCAGCACTAATGTCATACAAACAAACAGCGTAGCCAGAAGTAGCAAAAATTGTCGCCCAAGAGCTGCCAATTAAACCACTACAATAAAATGTGCAATTTTAAAGACCAAAGCAGTGTGATTTTAGCATAAGGTGGACTAGCTTACCAGCCAACTATTGCAACTTTCCTTTTAGTCAACGTCTCAGTAGAATTCGCCATCAAAATTTTCTCGTATGACCCTAAAGAAAAGCCAGTTGCCGTCTGTAAAACCAGTGGAATACGTTTCACATATCGATCACCAGTATTTTAAGCATATTCAAAATCAGAATATATATTAGCTAATGCAGCGATAAAACTATTGTTTGGCAAAAAACGAGCGAAAAAAAGAAATAGGAGGAGAGACAAAGTATACTCGCGTTTATTTTTGATTTCATGTCCAAGAATTTTTGCGATCTGTAAAAATGCTGGTTTGCTTTAAAATTGAGGCGTATTTACTTGTTTAATATCGAGAATTTTGCGGAGATTTTGGCATATTTCTGTTCGGCACATTCACGGCTACAAAAGGTTGCTAAGCTTCAATGATTCTTAGAGCCACTGTCGGGATATTTGCTGAAATGTGAAATGATAGCTGATTTCTTCTGTTACTACGTGTGTTGCTTTACTTGCGGAAATAACTTCGTGTTGCGCGAAAACTGTACTTTTTTATTTTTTTTAGATTCTGCCAGGTATGCCCTTATGTTTTTTGAAAAGTTTTACTAGGCTTAGGACCCATATAGGTTTTGTATTAGACCAGTCAGAAAGGGTAGACTTTTTTTGTTGTGAATGACCCTTCTTACCGCTTAGAATTTAATAACCGATAAGTATTTTTGATGATTCCAGTAAAACTATGTTTATAGTATTCTTCTTGCATACCTTTTCGGAGGTCGCTCGCATAACTTTCGGCCATTTCCGTATAGCACATTAGCATTTCGTCAAAACTCCTGGAACCTTTCCCAAAACAAAGCATTTTCCCGCTTGTTCTCTTGGACATAAAATCAGAAATAAAGGCGAGTATACAAATTGGAAACGGCACTTTATCCATTGTAAATGCCCACCAATAAGCTGAATGCACAAAATTTACCGACTAACTGCGAGATTCATTTTACGGAGGTTCGAGGTGAATGTTTGAACATAAAGTTTTGAAGTTTCAACGACTGTTTTTCTTT